AGAAAGGACATGGATACCTCTGGAGAACGGACATCGTGACTGTACATGTGGGTCGCAATGTACTCTGGAGAACGTACATGGATACAGCCGTGACTGGACAGGTGGTTCGCTACAATGTAGTCTGGAGAACGGACATGGCTACAGCCGTGACTGGACAGGTGGTTCGCTACAATGTTCTCTAGAGAACAGACATGGATACAGCCGCGACTGTACATGTGGGGTACTGTACATGTGGGGTCGCTCCAATGTCCTCTGGAGAAAGGACATGGATACCTCTGGAGAACGGACATGGCTACAGCCGTGACTGGACAGGTGGTTCGCTACAATGTAGTCTGGAGAACGGACATGCATACAGCCGTGACTGTAAATGTGGGGTCGCTACAAGGTACTCTAGAGAAAGGACTTGGATACCGCCGTGACTGTACATGTGGTTCGCTACAATGTAGTCTGGAGAACGGACATGGCTACAGCCGTGACTGGACAGGTGGTTCGCTACAATGTACTCGGGAGAACGGACATGGGTATAGCCGTGACTGTACATGTGGATCGCTACAATGTACTCTAGAAAACGGACATGGATACAGCGGTGACTGTACATGTGGGCTCGCTACAAGGTACTCTGGGGAACGGACATGGATACAGCAGTGACTGTAGATGTGGGGTCGCTACAAGGTACTCTGGAGAAAGGACGTGGTTACAGCCGTGACTGTACCTGTGGGGTCGCTACAATGTGCTCTGGAGAACGGACATCGTGACTGTACATGTGGGCTCGCTACAAGGTACTCTGGAGAAAGGACTTGGATACCGCCGTGACTGTACATGTAGATCACTACAATGTACTCTGGAGTAAGGACTTGGATACAGCCGGGGCTGTACATGTGGGGTCGCTCCAATGTCCTCTGGAGAACGGACATCGTGACTGTACATGTGGTTCGCTACAATGTACTCTAGAGAAAGGACTTGGATACCGCCGTGACTGTACATGTCGGGTCGCTACAATTTACTCTGGAGAAAGGACATGGATACCTCTGGAGAACGGACATGGGTATAGCCGTGACTGTACATGTCGGGTCGCTACAATTTACTCTGGAGAAAGGACATGGATACCTCTGGAGAACGGACATGGCTACAGCCGTGACTGGACAGGTGGTTCGCTACAATGTACTCGGGAGAACGGACATGGGTATAGCCGTGACTGTACATGTGGAGTCGCTACAATGTACTCTAGAGAACGGACATTGTAGCGCCCCACATGTACAGTCACGGCTGTATCCAAGTCCTTTCTCCAGAGTACATTGTAGCGAACCACATGTCCAGTCACGGCTGTATCCATGTCCGTTCTCCAGAGTA